GTGGGGTGTGAGGGGGGGAATTTTACCTTTCCAAAGGTAATGTGTTGCAAGTGCTAAAAAGAGCATCATCTTCACATCAGATCAATCAAGGTACAAGATTCAAGAAACAACGTGCCAAGAGGCAATTTCTCAGCAAGATGTTAGCATCAGAACACAAAGTGATGTGTCTGGAAGCAGAACTGCTGAGCTGCAAACAACCTGGGTGTGAGTCAGAGAATATTAGGAAAGTGCCTGTCCACCAGGAACATAGACTTGATTGCATGTGACTTGTGTCAACTCTGGAGACATCAAGAGCAGAACATAAAAGCAAGGCAACAGAGATATTTCTAAATGAGCCATTCAGCCTCTAAGGCAACAAATCTGACAATAACTCAAATTCCAAGAGGAAAAGTCAACATTCCAGGTTTGTGTTCCATGGTTATATCCTTCGTTCTTTTTTTTTATTACTTTTTTTTTTCAGCAAAAAGGTCATGTTTTACATCATTAAAAACACAATCATCTCCTTTCAAACTAGCCTGTAACTTTGAAACCAGAATCCAATTGCCTGTTCAGGCTCATTAGTGTCTTTGGATCCTAATGACCCACTCAGTTGCAGTAAATGAAAAACTAATCCTTGTTTTATGCCATTGGCTAAAAAGGATTAGCCAACTCTTGCTACCCATGCAATCAGCCTTGCACTGCGGAGATTACTACCATCTAATACTGTAAGTCTACACATTCCAATCTGTTACAATATGTAGCACTTAAAGCTTATTTCCTTGAAATACTTAAGCATATTAATGCTACAGTGTAAGACTGTTTTCTTATGATGCAATGATTCTTCTACCCCTGTCCCCAAAGCTTGCATTTAGCTGCATATACGTAGTGACGCCCCTTACCTTCCAACATTGTTTTAATTATGTTCACAGTCTTGAAATTAAAAATCAAGTAACTGTTCATTGGTTTTTGTTGGGGTTTTGGGTTGTTTTTTTTAATAGGGCCCAGACTGGGCACAGGCACTGGGTTTGCGTGGCAAGGACTGGGGGGAGGAAATGAGGGTTTACAGGGGTGGCTGCTGTGCTAAGCTGCCAGAAGCTTCCCCTTCATCTGATGGAGTCAATGCCATCCAGCTCCAAAACAGACCCACCACTGTTCAAGGCTGAGCCCATCAGTGATGGTGGTAGCGCCTCTGGGATAATTTAAGAAGGGCGAAAAGTTACTGTCCAGGACCAACACCAGCCTAGAGAGAGAAGTAAGAATATGTGAGAGGAAGAGCCCTGCAGACACCCAGGTCAGTGCAGAAGGAGGGGTAGGAGGTGCTCCAGGTGCCAGAGCAGAGATTCTCCTGCGGCCCATGGAGGCGATCATGGGGAGGCAGGCTGTCCCCCTGCAGCCCATGGAGGTCCACAGATAGCCACCTGCAGTCTGGAGAGGACTCTACACCAGAGCAGGAGGATACCCAAGGAGGCTGTGACTCCATGGGAAGCCCACACTGGAGGTTCCCAGCAAGACTTGTGGTCCTGTGGAGAAAGGACCCCATGCTGAGACACTGGCACAGATTGCCCAGAGAAGCTGTGGATGCCTCATCCCTGGAAGTGTTCAAGGCCAGGTAGGGCAGGCCCCGGTAGAAAGGGAGTGGAACTAAAGGATCTTTAAGGTCCCTTCGAAACAAATCATTCATGATTCTATAGTTTCTCCCACTTCAGCCAGAAGCCTTGAGTATCGGACTGTAATGTCATAGACATGGATGATGCAATTCATCAGGAGACAGGAAAGGAAGATTCAGTTATGGAGTAACTGAGCAAACAGACTTATCCTTTCTGGCTTTCTAAATCCTGTCAGAGTATTCGCCGGTAGTGTACCCCAAATAACATAGACAGGCTCTCAAACTTGCCTCTAGCTAAAGTTTTTCAGATTGTGAGGTGTGCAGTAGATTAGAAAAGCTGTTTAAAATAGATTAACATGGAAACCCACATTTGGAGAGCATGAAGTCCACCAAATCTATGCATCCTACTTCTTAATAGCTGGATCTCAGCAGCACTTCATTGAAACTTCCCTAATCCCTCTCCAGGAAAAAAAGTAAAACCCAACTTTCACATGCGTCAGCACAGTTGGGCTGCACAAAAATAGTCCTACAGCATCTAGGAGTCTGGCAAAAGATACCTTTTTTGTTTTGAAAGACACTAGATAGAGGGGAAGGAACTTGCTTTCAGTGTTTCAAGTTAGAAAAAGTTGAAATGTTGAGTATTATAACTGCAACATTATTTCAGTTCAGATAATAAGAAATACCAACAACACTTTCACAAAATTAACAGAAATGTTTATTTCAAAAATTTTATAAATATTCTATGTATAACAGCTAATTTGAGAACATTGTCTTTAACTCAAATTCAGATTCTACTGCTACAATAAACAGTTACTCTAACACAAGTTACTTAGTTTATATCAGAGGCTGAAAGTACTCATCTAGAAGTTTAGATGCTCTCTCAGATATTGAATTAACTCAACACGCTACTGTAAAATGATATTTCAGCTACTTGTAAGTGCCAACTTAACAGAAGTGTATCATAACATTTTATGAAAACAACATATTCAGGAAATAGGAAAAATAAAAGCTGCATCTCAAAGCGTGTGTGCTTGATGAACATACACATGCTTTTGCAGCAATTGGAATAATGCAGTCTTGCATGAAATGAAAGGGGAAGATGAAATGCTTTGTACTTTAACTTAAGAAACTGATAACATTTGTCAAGGTTAAGGAGGAAAAGAATTTAAAAGGAAGTCAAAGTATTCAGAAGAATGTAAATGGCTTTGTATTTTGTAAGGAAGAATGAAAATCTTTCACAGGAGGAGACTGTGATGATCTCTGATCCTGTCCAAATGCAAATGGAAAACTGAAGTCATCTTTTCCATCTCCAAATGCATGAGAAATTGATTCTGAGGGGAAGGGGAAGGCAAATGCCTCCTCACTTTCTGATTTCCCAAACAAGCTTCCTATAGGAATACATATTACATTTATTAGCAGATTGAATCTTACTGAAAGAATACTGCATTCAGCATATTATGTCCCTTCAACAATATTGTACTCTGAGCATCACACTGAGTATCAACCTACAGATGTGTGTTTATTTCTGCACTAGAAATGGTACTTCCTGGAGGGCGTTATTAGAATCTACATAGAATTAAGTGTGAAGTACTTGAATGATTTAGAACAACAAAACACTTCTAGATGATAAACTGGGTGAAATATTTCGAATACTAAGCAAGAAAGGTCTTTTTAAACAGATACACTTTTGCAGATTCCTTCTTCTCTAGAGAATAATGCAATCAAACTCTGAAATACTTGGAGAAACATAGCTGCTGACTGAAAACCACCCAACTTTTACATTCAGCAACACAAAATTCACACCCTTTTCTCTACAGGTTATATATGCATACAACCTTATATTCACCCACTTCAAAAAAAAGTAGCTTTTAACTTGTAGCGCCTCAAAAAAGAGAGTAGATTACAGTTCCTTTCAGAAAATAAGTTTTATCAAGAGTAAAGTTTGATCCTACTGATAACACAAAAAATTGATTTTTCATTTCAGTAAAGCCAGGATTTCACCCAGAATGTGTAAGTGTGTGGGGCTCCCTTAGTACGAGTGGAAGGTACTGTTCATTAAGTCTGATTCTCCTCTGTCTTACTTGTGCTATTTTTACATTGTGTACCTCCAACAGCTGAAACTGATGCAAGTCAGTTTACTATCAAGATTTCTCTAATCAAATGAAAATTATTATATTTGAGGAAGGAAAAACAACCAACATACGAACTCCTTCCGCTACCTAAAGTGGTAGCCTTAAGTTAAAAAATTGTATTTACCAAGCACTGTAGCTTTTTACATTAAAAGAAGAATTCTTTTAATTAGCAAAAAAGCTTTGACATTTAAATATATCTTCTCCATTACAGGTCTTCTTAGTTTGCTTCAAACATACCTAACACTATCCCTGTTTCTTTCTTTCTCATACCTCTTTGTTCATGACATCTCATACATTTGAAGCCAAACAGGCAGGGAAAGATTTAAGCTAGTCAAAACACAAGAAACACAGTAATCCACTGAACTATAGTATCACAACTGAACAGCCTTTTAGGCAACCAAAGGTGCCCTATTAAGCAGGATCGCAAGCTTGTCAGTCACATAAGTAGTAAACAGCTGCACATTTGAGTTTCAGACTTACCAATATCTTTTTGTGGGGACAGAGGGTTCAAGTTTCCCACAGAATAACCTTCCTCTGTCTGAAATACAAACAGACGTTGTATTTAACAAATGAGAAAGACAAAAGAGAAACTCTCATACTGATATGTAGCAAATTCATTGCCTTCCATGAGAAAGACACTGTCCCAGTGAATGTTAGCAGCCTTCACAAAATCTGCATTTAAAGGTATATATCTAACCCTAAAGGTTGAAGAGAGAGGTTTCATGATGTTTGTTTACATCTGCAAACACATAGCCCCCATTCTTCTGGAAGTCATCAGATTGAGAACAGACCCCTATCTGATCTGGCTTACTGCTGGTTTTTAAACCAAAAAGATTCAAAATTATTTAATTCTGTAGCATTTTGGAAAACTTCTAATTAATGCCTAATAAGTAGAACCTTGTATTGCCAGAAAAAGTACTCATCCCTCTTGAGAAGAGTTTGTAAGATACATTTGTAATAGATACTTAATTCCTTCAAAACTCCCACCTAACTTCAAAGAATCCTACACGATTGCTACAGGCTGCTAAATTCTTGGTTTCTGCCACTGAGCAGCCACAAAATAACATGGGTTCTTACAGCATGAGGTGACTTAATACCTAACCTCATTACTAAACAATTTACAAGCTGCTCACCAGTGTTTTCTCTCCTACACAGAGCTGATGCTAGGAGACATCAACAACATGTATCTTGCCAAACACAAAATAAAACAGTACTTTCATTCTTCCTTCCTCCAGCTTTTCTCTAGTAACCTCAAGACTGAGCACATCCACTGAAATACGAGATACTTGGGTTCAAATCCCTTATTTGCATAAGGAGTTTGAATCTACATTGCCAGCAATGTCACCTAACAACCACACTATGCACTGATGCACATCTATCCTGAATACCCAATAATCTATTAGCCCAGAATGGTAAAAATTACTCTAGAACACTGTTAAGGAACCTGCAAAGAAAAAGACATGGATTCCACTGCCCGTTCCAATTCACTGCCTACTTATCTCTTCCATTTAAATATAGCTAATCCAGATTTGCTCTTCAATACCCCTAATAGATTGTCCTTTCTTCCTTTTCTCAATATCCTACGTTTTGTGAAAAATGGGAGAATAAAATTGTAAGTGCCTGATTCCCCACTTCAGCAAGACAAAACCACACAGGATAGGCAGGTGGGTTGTGAATTCTGCTAGGGTACCTAAAGTTTTGCATTGCAGCACTAAACCAGAAGCATTTTGTGAATCTAGCCACCCGTATATTTGCACAAGATCCAATCTTGACAATATGGGAAAGATTCACACTCGATCAGAAGTCACCAAAGGGGCATCCCCAGGAAAGCAGCTAAGCATTTTCAAAGGATATAAAATGTAAAAATTAAGCAAGCTAGTAAAAAAATATTTGCTGCAAAGATAACCAGTCTGAAAAACCTCATTCACTGTCAATGTTGTTTTCCTAGCAGATTTTGCTTTGTGAAAATTTAATATTCTCAAGTACTCATTTTTACCTCGTCAGATGAATTTTCTGCCCCAAACACAGAAGAATCAAATAAATTAAAGCCAGGTGATTTCTGGGCAAAGTTCATGAGAGAAAAGAAGGCAGGAGATTTTGATGTTCCTTCTTCAGAACCTAAATTGTGAATGCTGTAAAGAAAGAAAGGAAGGAAGAAACTACATTAATAGTTTTTAAAAGTAGCGTAGATGGCTTTTTTAAGTTTGGGGGTTTTTTTCTGTTTTGTCACTTTTTTAGATTCCCATAGCTTCCACTAATAATTGCTTCTTGCAACACAGAATGGGTAACAAAACTCTTTAAAGCAAAGCAAGGTGGTGTTCTTAGCAATTCCCTACCCTTTTACCAAAAAAACCTGTTTAAAGATAGAAATTGGTGTAACAAATACTACTGCAGGAAAAGACGACGACTGTAACAAAGGAGCTACAAAGGACCTGTGTCTTTATATTTCTAAGCAGTGTCTCACTCTTTCAAAACAGCTTCAAGTGGAAATGTTGTTGTCAGAAGAAAAACTATTAAATTACCTAGCATAACTCAGGGTGAAAAAAAATAGTATTTTTAGAAGAGCTTTCTAAAAGAGTCTTTCTATAGTATCTTTCAAAAACAGCAGAAATGCTTATACAATAGATATCACTTTGCTCAAAATCAAAATAAAAGATGAACTCGTACAAGTCAAATGAAGGTAGTTTTGAGAACTGGGTTTTCTTCCCCTTTGAATCAGGCGTTCCAACAAACTCAGGTGTTTCAGGTGCTCTTAAAAAACGTTGTGAACTTTCTTCTGCTGTGTCAGGATTATCTTCATTTGTCTTAAAATTTGTGTTTATGTCCTATTAAAAAGAAATGTACAATAATGTTTACAGCATATAAAATTTCCAAAAATATCATTAGTCCATTTACCTATAAATATATTCATTATGTATTTTAGGGTTAGTCATTTTTACTCTCATGAAAAATAAAAAGATGTTAATAAAATGCTCACAATGACATATTCATCATACTTAAAACTGTAACCTGAATTTATCTAATTTAAAATGGACTTCTTGTGAATGAAACTATATATGGAAATTTTCATTAAAAAAAAAAAACAAACTTGTGAACTGACTAAAACCACTGATTTTGAATAAAATAACTATTTAATTCTAAAGTATGTCTTAACATATTGCTTAAAAGTCACACTGGAATCCGCATGAGACTCCCTAGTGAAAAAAAGGAATATCACCATCAAAATATATTTCAGTTGACTGAGATATTTCCTCTTTCTCAGAAAATGTTAAATGAAAATATACACTTGGATTATGTGGAACAATTTCCACCAGACTCAATATTGTTTTAAAGACACTCTTCTCCATCAGCTGCCTGCAGGCATCAGCCCCTAGTGAGCCAACCAGAAGATGAGGAGTATCTCAAACTTGATCTTGTGTACAGGTTTTGGCAGAGAGTTCATAGCTTTTATGGTGCTATACTGGATTTGTGTCTAAACCAGGGTGAATAAATCAGGGATGTTTTAGTTATTGCTGAACAGTGCTCACACAATGTCAAGGCTTTTTTTGCTTCTCATGCTGCCTCACCATTGATTAAGCTGGGGGTGCAAAAGAAATTGGGAGGGGACACAGCTGGGACAGCTGACCCCAGCTGACCAAAGGGGTATTGCAACACCATATGACGTGCTCAGCAATAAAAGCTGCAGGGAAGAAGGAGAAAGTGGGGGATCCTTGGAGTTATAGCATCTCTCTTCCCAGGTAACCATTACATATGAAGCCCTACATTCCTGGAAATGGCTAAATAACCTCCTGTAGATGGGATGTAGTGTATGAATTCCTTACTTTGTTTTGCTAACATGCACAGCTTTTGCTATACCAATTAGACTCTATTTGTCTTAACCCACATTTTGCACTTTTACTCTTCTGATTCTCTTCCCCATCTCACTGCGGGGGGAGTGAGCAAGTGGCTGTGTGGTGCTCAGCTGCTGGCCTGTGTTAAACCATATCTTGATATGACCTACATATGCAAGCTGTACAGACAACTGGCTTGGATAATATGGTATGGCAAGCTTGATCTCACATTCAGGCACAGCTTGTAAAAGCAGTTGCAATGGAGCCATACCGGCTCTGTAGCCAGCACAGAGCCTATTTACTATAGTTTTGTAGGAGAAATGAGTTTCAAATGCAAACATTTTTTTAAGAAATCTTCCATCAGCTCGCACTGATAAAAAAATGACGTGCACCCATTTATACAAAAACTACGATGTGCATAGGATAGTCATCTTAAATAGTCTGTTGTTAAGGCAGCACAAAACTAAACAGAACACTGACATGATCAAGAGCAATGATCACTATATTAGTAATTAGAGGGCACTGATTGGCTTCTCACCTGCTGGATGGTTTATAATGAGTCACCTTGTCAATTTCTGAGACTTATACCTCTTGCCAATAGATTCAAATATGTCAAGATACTTTGACTATTCTACATAAAATAATTACTTACGACATTAGAAATGCTTCGCTTACTTGAGGTATATAAGAATAATCCTTTGGCTCATTTTCTGCTTCTGCATCACATTTGGCCTCTTGGTTTGCTATACAAAAATCAGCATTGCTTGTAACAATAATAACAGCACTTTGAATGGATAAAAAAAATTATGTTCTGGGAAACAGTCCTTGAGAAAGATTCACTAACTTGGCATTGCTACTGGTAAGGAAGTGTTACAACTGAGGTTTTCATAATAACCCACTTTATGGCTATGTTCCTAACAGTTACCTCTTGTTCTGCCACTTACTCGCTATCGTTAAAGCACGCTTAGGCTGCTTCATACGGTTTGGTATGTTCTTCAAACCTAGCTATTGATCCCTGAGACTGCAATGATTGTCTAATCCAGCTATTGCCCTCTGAGAGTGTTAAAACCAGACAATGGAAACCAGGTGGAAACAATATAAAAAGCACATCCACACGACACAGGCGAAGTGTATCTTAAAGAACTGGGCAAAAGCCAGGATAAGAAAAAAATGTTATCAGACTTTCTGCTCTAATCTTCAGACTGTGCAACATTTCAGGCACTGTAGGTTAAGACCCTGGGTTTCAGGGCATATAATTAGGACCCTATTACTAAAACTAAAAAAAAAAAAAAAAATTAAAATAAAAAAGACTAATTTTTGACATGCATTTAAATTGGCAGTATAATTAGAAAAAAATATTTAAAATGAAGCTTAGTGCCTTGTGATTTCAGAAACTATAGGTGTATTTATAACTACTCTGGTCCCCTGGTTTGTTACTGTAAGCATTCTGTATGTATTTCTCAAATTAATTTTAATCCTTAATAATCCCACATTACTGAGTTTTTATTATATCGCTTTTCTTTGCATTTTCTCATGCCTTCTGGGCAGATTTTCAGACTGAATTTCGTTTTATCCAAGTAACTTGAGACTAGAGCGTGCATTTATAAGAGATGCTGGAAAGTTCATTTCATTAGGAATGTTCAATGAAGAATGAATGCCATATTACTGAGCACTTCAGTCTATTTAAATTAGGACACTGCCTATCTGCTATACTCAAAGTTTGAACTAAATAAGCAAGGTGGAAGAGGAATAGAAATGGTGGCCCTCTTACTACCAGAAGGAAAATTTGGCCCCTAGATTTTTCTCTTTTACAATTATGTGATCCAGCATACAGTAACAGTATACCTATCAAAAAAAATGATACTTTACCTATTACTGCATTTTCACTCTCAAACTGTTGATTGGAAGTCATCTGCTTTGGAGGAATTACGAGCCTAAAATACAAAAATTAATGCTTAACTAAGTATGGATTATATCCATAAACCTCAATCTCAAGAATGAAAACTACTTTATTAAAGAAAAGTTACCTGAATTGCATTTGGTTTTGTGAGCTTGCTATTGCTGGAACTTGGGCAATCTGTGGGTTATTAGTGCCTGCAGTGTCAGTAACCATCTAAAACACAGTAAAAAATTTGAATGAGGCAGCATATAAAATTGTTGCTTCAACAACATCACTCTGATTTCTCCTTAGACTATGGAAATCCCTTTTTTTAACCACAGTTTAGAGGTCAGTCAACATAAGAAACTTCTTGCCTGGCTTTACCTTCATTTTAACAGCATGATATGCAAACCTACTTCTCTGATTTTTATAAAGTCTCATTCACAGCACTGATAACTAGATGTGAATAATTAACTGTTCTGTTGCACACATAACATCATGTAATTTACAAGCTTTATCCAGGTTTTGTAGTGCTGCAGCCAGGTGTCTCCACCTCTGCAGGCCAAAGTGAGTGTGCACATCAATGAATGTGTCTCCTGTGTAAACTCAAAAACTGCAAAAAAAAACATGGAAATACTCCTGCCTTACAGATTTTCACCAGATCAGAAGCCCTAACTCTTATGTGAGGCATGTATTTGCGCTTTGAGGACAGAGTGGCACTAGAAATCTCTGCCTCAGCATCGAATAACACATTTCACAGGGAGCTGCTAGTTCTGGTTTATTTTAATTTGCAAAATGTATCAAATTGAATTCAATACAGGGTGGAGGAGAAAAAGGCTGGCTATGCAGAAACTGTCTGCCACTCCACTTCTGTAGTTTACAGCACACCTTTTCTGAAGCATTGCAACATTCCTTCTAATCTTTTTATTTTCCTCAGACTCCATCTTCTTTTCCTTATTGCCATCACCCTTTCTGGAAGTTCCCTTAACCTTGACTTACTGTTTCCCACTATTCTCTTAAGTGCAATTTCTAGGTCCCAGATTTATCATCCTCATCTCTAGATTACCCTGGCAACAGGCCTTCCATCATCCTCATCATGACCAATTCCCTCAGCCAGTCACAAATCAGAATTGCTTGAAATTTCTTGTGGTCTGGTTCCACTCAGTCTAGCCATTGCCCTTCATGTTGTTTTATCTTAAGACAGCTACTTCTTCTACCACAGGCTCCACTCTAAACTATTTAGTGATTCATTCACTTCATCTTTCAGTTACGCCGAAAATCTTAACAAAATGACAACTGGTTCTGTTAATTTTTTACTTGATTATTTTTGTTGTTCATTAAAATTTGGATTTAAATAGATCCAGTGAGATGTCCCCTAAAAAGAAAGGTTTCGGCATAGAAACTTCCCCATGCTTCTGCACAGCAAACACAGTTGCAAACTATTTCTTATATCTCCTGTGGCCTTACCTTACTTTTCTCCTTTTATACTATAGCAATCCCACGACTGTTCTTGCACTTAACCGGATTTTATTAGTGTTTTTCATAACTGTGCAAGTTGTTCCTCCAACTTGTTTGCATATTGGTTTACTGTGTTTGTATATTTAAGATATTAAGCTGCAGTACACTGCACCTGTTCAATAAAGTACCATAGGAACTATTTGTTTATGGGTGAGAGATGGAAAATGTAGTTGTGGACTCCTCAAGTGTAAAAAGCAATGCTGCTTGTGGTTTTATTTCTCTTGGTCCAGACTTTTGTTTCTGCTTAAAGCTCAGAACTGAGCTGTTAAC